CCGAATTCATATCAACCGCCGCAACAATGCAGCAGCGCAGCGCAGCGTGCTGCAACGCGGGGCCGTGAAACACCGCCCAGGGCTATCCATGTGTCAGGGCAATCCAACCCACGTGATGGGCTCGGCCCCAGCGGAGCATGAGGTCCAGGACTCCCGCCCAGGCCCCCTGTCTCCCCCTAATTCCTGTCATCCTTCCCACTCTGAAATCGACCGAGCCTAACCTAACACAACAATCAGCTCGTTTGCCGCTATGTCTGAATAATATTGTCAGATTTAATAAAGGCGAACGGCTTAGCACGTAAATAACAGCAACTGCCACCATTGGTATTATGAGAAAACCAATTGCTTTTCCACAAACACAAAAGTTTTTAGCTTAAAACTTGCTTGAAATTAATCTTACCAGCCTCGTGTTCCTCTTATCAAAAAACGCTTCGAATGAATCAAAAGTTGATCTTTTAAATAAAGGTTATTTGAAAAATTTGGCCTATGTTCAAAGACATGACCTGACCAGAAATGGTAATGATGCATAGCAGGATATTAGATTCGTATCGTGGAACTTTACAAACACTTTAGATGATTTCACAACTTGAGCATGTCTATGTATAGTTACTTTTCGGATTATTCTCTGGGATAATAATATCTAACTCACAAGTCCATATATTTCGGATGATGTTGCTCACCCTTGGTCACTGGACAAAATAAAAACAATTACATATATGAAAAACCACGTGGTTTTTCATATATGTAAAAACAAAAAAAAACGTGGTTTTTCATTGTAATTGTTTTTATTTTGTCCAGTGACCAAGGGTGAGCAACATCATCCGAAATATATGGACTTGTGAGTTAGATATTATTATCCCAGAGAATAATCCGAAAAGTAACTATACATAGCTAATTTCCTGGAAAAAATGACTAAAACAACATATTAAGCATGTTTATCAAAAATAATTATGACCGATGGCTCATATATAAGCTGGGTGTGTGATCATGCTTACTAGTATGTTTCCCGCAACTGATAATGTTCTGTTGGCCACAATTTCTATATTTAATTTATCCTCCCGGAGTTCATATTTTTATTAATGACACCTTGACGATGTCGAGAAAAAAACGCTTAGGAGATTTAACAGCCTGAGATACATTCAGTATAAGGAAGGGTGAAGAGTGCTAGATCCCTTCCGTCCTCGCTATCCTCAGGAAAAAACAATCCGTATCGCCCCTAGACTTCATGCTTCCCTCTCTGGACTGGAGGTCACCCCACCAGCCAACCTGTAGTTGATGTCGGATCCATTTAAGGACACATAATCCTGTTCGGGTGACCGTTTGGGAGACGGCTGGACCGTCCCGACAGGGCAATCGTCCCACGGGAACAGTCTCGCTTCCGCAGATCACTGTCGCTGGCTCGCACAGCCCAATTACTACACCAGCATAGTTATGTCATAGCTCTGCAAGGGCCTTTTCAGACTGAAAAAGATGGCTCCCAACAAAACAAACAATTTTCTCATTCAGTATTGTATCCCATCAAGCACCACATGTTTCCGGAGTGTTTATTATGCGTTCCGTCCAAAAAAGCGCAGTTCAATTTTCTCCCATTGACTTGAGCGATCTCAAAATTGATCCGGCCTTTCTGTCAACAATGTCAAACTTGCAAAGTAAACGTTTCAAATATATATACCTACTGAGTGCCCATTGAAATCGCTGAAAGTTCTAAAGCGATCGGTTAGTCGGTGTATTTAGATATGATGAGCACAGGAACTTTCCTTGAGGTAAGGTTACTTGACGTGACCTGGTGTTATGACCTTGAATTGAAAGACTTGGGCGGGAAAAATGGGTTATTTGAAATCTGAAAATGCTAGATTTTAACAACAATTGCAAACACTATCCCGGCCAAATAGTGAGTGAGAAGGGAGCGATCCCCCAACCCCATGTTTGGCTCCTATAATTGAGCTAGCTGCTAGAGCCTCGCGGAAAAAAAAACGAGCGCTTGCTTCGTTACGTGACGCAGCGACTGGTACCCCATTTTAAAATATCAGTGACCTCTTAGGGCAGGTCAAGGGCCCCAAGGCAGTCGATCGGTTTTTGGTAATAATTCGCAAAAATGGTCGCATTATCGTCATTTTGATACAATCGTGTTTTCTGTTCTCAGACGAGTCGATTTATATGCTTTTTTGTTTAGGTGAAGCAATTTAGAATGTTTACCTGAGGTCAATTTCATGTTAGGACAACACAGGTCACGAAGCTGTTGAAAGGAGGACATGTTGCATAACATTTGATTCGGCAAGTCTTGCAAAGTCCAAAGATGGCTGTCCCGACTGGCTAGCTCATTTTGATCGGGATTTATTGACGAAGCACTTCTATCACCCTAGTGACGTCATAAATGACGTCACGCAAGGTGAGCAAAGCAAAAGTGAAGCATTAGACCTTGCCAAGAATGTATGAAGTCACGATTTGAAGTGCTTGAGGTGTAATTTTAGATCATTTCCGACGCCAAATTAACAGTTTCCATATTTCTCCATTATGCTTGACACTAAGTGCATTGCGGATTTGCATCATTTTATAACCGACAACCGTGCAGAGGTTTACTTAACCCTCGCCGGGCCTATTGGTTTTCTACATACGCGCCGACCGAGGGGGGGGGGGCGGGTACGAACCCCCCTCGCCGTTTCGCCCCAGGTGGAGCTAGCGCGTCGCGGAAAAAACGAGCGTGTGCGCCGTTACGAGACGCAGAGATTGGTACCCGATTTTAAGGTCCTAGGTCAACCGGTGACCTCTGAGGTCAGGTCAAGTGCCCCAAGTTACGGTTCAGTTTTTGGTGAATAACTTCGCAAAAACGGCCGCAGAACCGCGATTTTGGCAGCATCGTGTTCGCCTTGCTCAGGCGCGTCGAATGATATACTTTTTGTCCGGGTCAGGTCAACTTGGGGTGTTGACCTCAGGTCAAGGTCAGGTCAGCACCCCCAGGTCACGAAGTTGGTCGAAAGAGGTCATGTCGCATATCATTCGATTCGGCAGGTCTTCCTGAGTCAATTGGTGCCTTTCCCGACTCGCTAGCTTAATTTGTTCAAGAGTTATTGACGAGAAACTAATATGACCTTGATGACGTCATAAATGACGTCACGCAAGGTCAACATTGCAAACGTGACGCATCTAACCTTGCAAGGAGTGCATCAAATCACGATTCTGTGTGCTTGAGGTAGTTGGAGATCGTTCCCGGCGCCAGAATAGCAGTTTTCATTTTTCCACCATTGACTTATACCTAATGGTGAGGTCACGAAAATGACCTGACCTCATATGACCTTTAGGAAAAATCCGAGATAAACAAGCTGTGAGACTCATAATGGATACTAGATCCTGCAAGTTTCATTTCCCTGTGACATCTCCTCTGGCAGTGAGGGCGTTGCGAAGTTGCGACATCTGAAGACCGTGCAAAGGCTCACTTATGACGCCATAGGTCAGTGACCTGACCTGACCCAAAAATGCGGTTGGTGTCAAAAGATCCGGCTTGAATCAAAGTTCAGGTATGCCATGTTTCAGCTTTCTATCGCCAGCGTGTTCGGAGCTATCGCGAAAAACCCTATTGCCCCCCCCCCTCGGCCGGCGAGGGTTAAGACGCCATGTTTAAGTGACCTGACCTGAAAACGTGGTTGATGTCAAATGATCCGGCGTGAATCAAATGCAAGGCATATGAAATGTCAGCCTTCTATCATCAGTGTGCTTTGAGCTACCGCAAAAATAAAAAAATACATGGTGGCGGCATTCACCCCTTCTTCTCGGCCGGCGAGGGTTAAACCTCGCTTCGAATTATTGCAGATAATGATGCGACCGAAAACAAAGCATTTATCTGTGTCTAGAACGGCCGCTGACTTGTTGGACAAGATCCCCAATCTTGATTTTCTAGATGGGAATAAAATGCTGGGTATGTGATACATATATACCCCTCGATTTGCTCTCGCGCTATGTCTATTTTAATCATTACTGTCGCTTTTTTATCCGAGATGATGTCGCCGCTAAACGGGTTGTTTTGTTTGCTTGCTTGCGTTGAATGGTCATTACGGATTATTGAAGGGTTATGGTAAAATAGGAATGGGGCGAGGGAGGATATGCACTGCGTCTGCGGGTGTTTAATTTAGATCACAAAGGCATCATTTCCGGCATAGTGCAGAGTCACTATCTTCCCCCTCCTCAGCACTGCGGCATCTCTGCGCCCCTCACACGGCGTCCTCACTCCACGGCCGGCCGCCGCCAACTGACCCACTCGCCGGGCGCCGCGACCTGACCCGTGTCGCTGCCGCGGCCTGCGCAATAGAGTTGGGGCTGGAATCCGGGGGTTCGGCCGGCCGGCCGCCTCTGGAGCGGGGGACTTTTTTTGTAGACCTACTGTACTGGTACGGTACGTTTTGACCTGTGGGGCAAAATGTGGCCGCTGTCACACAAACTGGCGCACTCTCCCGACCCACAGCCAATCGATTTCTAGTCATATAACACATTTGCCCTATTTAAATTGCGAATCCAACGAGCTCACAGGGTACACGCATCAATAATATATGGCAAAACATGAAACACATTAGAAAAATAAATAACATACGTTTCTCCCTCGTGGGCTGATCAGTTCAACGGAAATAAGGAAAACGCGAGGGAACGTAAACAATTGTGAAACGGAAGTGAGAGTGAGCGAAAATGACGTCACAAGATCGGCTCGACGCAACCAAATTAAAAACACGCCGTACCGGCGGCCACACTGCCATTTATGCAGGTTTTATGCTTTTGTCATAACTGAATCACTATAAGTCACCGACCAATTACGCTTTTCTAGGAGTGTCTAACACACTAGTATTGTTGTTAGTAGGCATTTGTTTGAAAACGGGGTTCACCAGGTATTTTCTTCGTTATTATTTTTTTTTTTTTGCATAATTGTGTGTGTGTTTTTTACATTGCAAGTTCCATATCGGCCTATTATCATCCACCAAAAAGTCCATATTTGTAACTGTTTGGCTGTTTTCCAGAACTACGACACCTCAGAGTCGAAGCTGCGGAGAGAATTCGAGGTTCACGGGCCCATCAAGAAGGTTAGTAGTCTGAAATTTCCACCCTCTTCGTTCTGCTTCTGTGCTGTCTCGTCTAAGAGCCATGTGTCGTTGGTGCAGGTGGTGTATTTTAGATATTTTCTGTGTTATTGCTGCCTTGCATCAAATCACACAAGAGTGGCGTGCCTTCGAGCTGTTATGTTAGCACTACTGGCCTTGTCATTCGATCTGTGTTTTTTTTTTTTGTCTCATGTCCTGTTCGTGCTCGCTTGTGGCACCATTTTTTCAGACTTGCAAAATACTGAATGTTCTATGATGTGCAATCAGTAGTGTCTGTTATTCTGCACTAGCCGAGGCGTGTTTGTGACTTCCCCTTCAAACTTGAACGAGCGCCCTATTGCACTCAGCCCACCAACATGCACTATGCTGAGCCCCTTGCTCAACCGTCCAGAGTTCTGAGCTGCCTTTGATGACGCCATTGTGTGTGGTTGTCAGATCGTCCTGGTGCACAACTCTCAGTCGGGCAAGCCGCGCGGCTATGCCTTCATCGAGTACGAGCACGAGCGAGACATGCACTGTGAGTAGCGCGTCGGGCGCCGCCCCGTCCCGGTCCGGCCCCGCGCGTCCTGACCTGACCCTGCGCTATGGGGTGTAAGGGGCCCGAGACGGGATCATGCCCAGCTGCTCACTGATCCCGGGACTAAATTATCGGTCTCCCCTCTAGTGTTGGGTCGGTTGGGTTGTCCCGGACCGCGGCTTCCCGGCCCGGCCACCGAACTGGCTGCCCCCACATCCCTCCTGCCCCTGTCCTGGACCGTGCTGGTTTTGTCGGCTGTTACAGCAGCTGTCGCGCTGTCCGCTACCTGAAAGTGTTCCTCCGGCGTGTAGGCCGCTCCTTTCGCGCCACTCTGTAGTGTTTTCAGGCCATCAGAGGAGGTATCGGATGCCGGGCTATCCGAAACACGGAATTCTCCCACAGACTGGCGCCGGATTGTTTGTGCTGTTTAATGTCTTACGCTCCTGCCCAAAGTGATACTGTTTCGTTCCAAAGACAATGCTGAACCAAAGCCCTGTCGTTAATCTATGACATTGTGGTCTCGCGTTTGAAACGTTCCTGCATCCTAAAGGCGCCGACCGGGCGAGCATCTGCGCTGGTCCGGGCCGTGGCGCCATCCTCCAGGCATGATTGTAACTGACGCTTTTGTTTGCCGCAGCCTGGCGGCGCCCGGGCGCGTAGCCTGTGGTCGCAACTCCGCCACGTATCTATCCCCTGGCCTGTAGGTTTGTATGGTGGTAAGCCCGATCGCCGAAAACCATACCAGGTTTTATGAACCCCCACTCAAAGAGGCTAGATGACGCTCCATTATTCATGGATATCTGAATATCATTAAAGTAGATGGTTGCAGAGTTGATGTTATTGTAATCTCCCTTTCTGACCAAATGGGTGATGTCATGCAGCTTTATCTCTAGGGTTGGTTTTCAGTTTCACTCAAAATTTGGGGAGTTCTTAGCTTTTGCGTCATCATTGAATTATGCTCAGTTCAATTACCTGAAATTCGTCCCCTGCTGCTGGAAGAGGAATGTGCGTCCATGAACAATGCGAAGAGCGGTTGGAAAGTATAAGAGAAGCGTAAGTGTTGATAATTACCTCAAAAATAGTCATGCCTAACCTGAAATTCATTAAAATTGATGATTATGATATGCATACGAGTACTCTGATTAAAAAGGGATTTCGATTCCATTAACCCGCGCCCCGTTAGGCGAAGGGGTGAAACGGCCATCCTCTCCTTTTCAGTCGATATCTCCCAAAGTATAGCTTATATCGACACGAAACTTGCAGGACCTCTCCGGGCATCAATTTTACACCTTGTGACCAAAGATTTTTCCAAAGCCTATGATAGGTTGGCCGCAAATAACGTCAGAGTGACGTCATGTTCTGCCAATTTCGACCAAAAAAGGTTTGCGGGAAGAGCTATCATGCCTACAGTTTTTGAGATAGACAAAAATGTACAGAATAAAAAAGATGTAGGATTAACAGGGCTACAAAACCGCTATCTCGGATTTGTGAAAGTTTTGGATTTAGACCCCCAAAACTCAAAAAGTGTTTTTTTATATAATACTCCAAAATACCAAAAAAAAATATAAAAAACGGAATGTTCGTTATAGAACTATTAGTATGCTATTGACATGCCAAATTTCAGTTCGATTGCTCTATTTTTGGCAAAGTTATGGGAAAAAATTGCTCAAAATTCATGACGTAAAATTTTCCAACTCAATCTGCCGTTATGGACCGCGGAGAGGAAAATGAAGACCACCATTGGATTCCCCGTGATGAGCTGCAGCGAATAGACACCCTTTTTATGCAAAATATTAACTTTGAAATTTGATATATTTTTTACCTGACCTTGACCTGACCTCCACCAGAACGGAACCTAAACCGGTCCTTATGGTCGTGTACCTAACCCACACCATTGAATTTGAAATGTAAAATTTGTCATAAAACACGCATCGCACGACCCTAGTATAGTTGGGCGACGGGTCCATATTGTGACCCTTCGTGACCTGACCTGTGACCTGACCTGGTATCAGTGACCTCCTAAGCAGCATATGTATTAGGCGACCAACGCTGAATCGCTGATGTTCGATAACATGCTTTTTATTCGATGTTATAGCGCATTCCTTAGAAGGCCCGTAACCGGTGAAAAACGCTACCTTTGACCTGACCTCTGACGTCATCGGTTGCACCTAGGTCAACGAAACTTGGTCACAAGGTAGTAGTACCCTGCTGGTGCTATCGAATGCCGTTTGAATTTTCAAAATCGGTCGGTAACTTTCCGAGATCTGAGGGGAGGGGGGGGGGGGGCGAAACGCCTTCCCCCATCGGGTGGTAGGGTCCGCCTATAGCCCAATGGGGCGCGGGTTAAAGTAGCGTTCAAAAATAAAGTTTAATTACTATCAGTTTCGATAGAGTTTTGTACGACCTAAATGTTCCACTTGCATTATATTTCCTTTTGTTGTTAATTATGACCCAAATTGTTAATCGCTCATCAGTTGATAGATAACTGCATTGTGGTTAGCGCCATCTATCAGTTTCAGATGGAATTCGAATGAATCATGCGTCATTCAAATGAAGGCTTTTGTGTAGAAGAACAGTGAATTATATTTATGATTGCTAGAAAGTTGAGGCAATTCAGTTGTCTCATGGGAAATTCGGAAACGGTTTGCTACTTCGGAAACATAGTTACTTTAATGGCATGTTCAATGATTGTGGAACGTAATTCATTCAATCGACATTGTATGGCTGGCATAATATGCTGTTACGAAGTCAGCTACCAGACTTGATAGAACTGTTAATGTCACTCTTCTAAAAATGTCATTTGGTGAAAGCGTTTATACCAGCCTCCCGCCCGAAGCGCCTGCCTTGGTCTTCAGCGTAAGTGAAAGGTTGTAAGTTTGGTATTGTTCAAAGGTCATTATGAAAGGCCTATCTCTGTGGCTTCAGTTTTCAGTTATGAAATCCAAATTTGTTATACTTTTAATTTTAATCATTGTAACTTTTCCTTTTCGTATTTCAAGCATGTTGCGTGCACTTTGCAACTTACTGTTCAGCTTTGAAATGCCTTGTCTCCAGTATTGTTTCAAAATTTCCTCATTTCGAGAAATCATTCTTCATCTGTGGGTTGCCAATGGCAATGCCTACGACGAATTCACAGCGTCGCTCGCCAGCTAGCGTAAGTTTCAAGCGGCAGTAACACGTAAGTGGAGGTTGGTATGAACTCGGCTGCTCCTTTTTCCACTCTGATTGGCTGTAATTTTGCACACCTATCTAATTGTTCTACCTTTGAAGTATCCGGCTCAGATTTACGTGGTAGTTTTTATGCTTGAAACGTACATTGAAGCTGAAAAGGCAACGTAAAGTTCTGAAAATATCTCCGTTCACATGCTTCATTTTTCCTATCTAAATTTATGTATTCGTTCCTCAAGTCCTCATGCCAATGCTGTTATTTTCTATCGTCTGCTTTTCACTACTACCGTATATGTAAAAATGACACCTCTGCGTGGGTGGTAGTTATTTGTTCACTGCTCGTTGCACATACCTCTGAGTAAGGGAGGAACCTGGAAAACCTCTACGTAAAGAGGAACTTGGTAAACCTCTGCGTAAGGGAGGTACTTGATCATTGCTTATACCTCTGAGTAAGGGAGGCCATTGATAAATCTTCGCGTCCTTGTTCAGCGCTCATGCCTCTGAGTAAGGGAGGAACAGTTGGTAAGCCTCTGTTTAAGGGAGGTATTTGGTAAACCTCTGCGTAAGGGAGGTACTTGCTCAATGCTCGCTGCTCATACCTCTGAGTAAGGGAGGTTATTGATAAATCTCTCCGTAAGCGAGATGTTTGCTCAATGCTCATTGCAGTTGCCTCTTAGTAAGGGAGGTCGTTTTCTTAGTAGATCTCGAAAGTACGGAAGAAACTTGGTGAACCTCTGCGTAAGGGAGGTAGTTGCTCATTGCTTATACCTCTTAGTAAGGGAGGTCATTTTCCCCGTAAGCCTCTGTGTAAGGGAGGTACTTGTAAATTTTTAATTGCTCATTGCTTCTACCTCTGAGTAAGGGAGGTCGTTTTCTTGGTGAACCTCTGCGTAAGGGAGGTGCTAGACTGACCTTTCGTAAGTGGGGTCGAACGGTATGGCGGCTGGCCGGACCCACGCTCCCACCCGCCGAGGACCGATCGTACCGTCTAAAGCGCGCGCGACCTCCTCACTGCCAGGTAACTACGGCAGGTAACTCGGCCCGATCCTTCCCCGTCCCGCCGCTACCACGGGCTGACCACGTCCGCGTCCACAGGCAGGCGGCGGCAGAGTGCTACCGGGTGTTACCGGGTGTTACCGTGTCTGTGTTCCGACAGGTGCAGGGTGGAGCCAGTGTGTCCGGCTCTGTGTGTGTGTGTGTGTGTGTGTGTGCCGTCTCTAAGAACTAACGCGGGACTCGGACGGGGTATTGTTGAATCGTGAGCTGCTGAAACATGACGTGGGTTGTGATTTATAGTTCGGATCGTGTCCATTTGACAGATGCTGATGCGGATTTTATGCGTCATTTTTCACACTTGGTTACGTAAAGTAGGACTGATCGGTGGGGTGATGACGTGACAAGGGTATTGTTGATGATGTAGCCGTGATGTGTTGTGATGTGAATCGTGCTGTTGTTTTGATGTTTTGGTAGTGGAAGGATTCATCAGTTAAGTGTGATTGAAAGTTGGTTGGTTTGGATACCAATCGCCGAACATATTGCTGGTGGGTTTCATGTTTTTTTTTTTTTCGCTCTATTGTGACTGTTGGATTCCTCTTGTATGTAGTGTGCCTCCTTTACTTTTATGCAGACCTTGATTTGAATTCCTATATGTTTTCTGTTTTAATCGGGTCACATTTTAAGTAACTATTCACGGGGATTTAATGCATGGGGCGGTGGGGGCGGGGGGAGGTGCATGTATTTCTGAGATGCTGGCCCGCGACTGCGGCACGCCCCGCCCACGGTGAGTGCGTCTGCGCGTCCGAAGGCGCCGGGGGCTCCTGACGAGCGCCGGCCGCGTGTTCCAGCCGCCTACAAGCACGCCGACGGTAAGAAGATGGACGGCCGGCGCGTGCTGGTGGACGTGGAGCGCGCGCGCACCGTCAAGGGCTGGCTGCCGCGCCGGCTCGGTGGCGGCCTGGGCGGCACGCGTCGCGGCGGGCCCGACGTCAACGTCAAGTACTCGGGCCGAGAGGACTCGGACCGGATGCGCGGCGGCGACCGACGCGAGCGCAGCCGCGAGCGAGAGAAGCGCCGCCGCTCGCGCAGCCCGCGCGACCGCCGAGAGCGCGGCGACGACCGCGAGCGCAAGAGGCGCCGCTCGCGCTCGCGCAGCCGGGAGCGGCGGCACCGCAGCCGCTCGCCCCGCGAGCGGCGCGACCGCGAGCGACGCCGCGAGCGCGGAGACCGCGACAGGTGAGTGCTGGACGGGGGAACTGGCCGGGAGGAGAGGGCTGGTGTGGGTGGGCGGGACGCCGGGTAGGACCGTCACCCGTGTTGCTGTGGGGTCCGCGCTGTGGCCCCGCCGGCCGTGGAAGGGAGGGAGGAGCTGTGTCGCCCTGTCTGGCAGCGCTGCGGCGGTGTAATCCGCCGCTCCGCGAGCAGTTATGGCCGGCTTTACGAGCGGTCTGGCCTCCGTCGGCAGGTCCGGCGTCATGCCGTGAGCTCAGCGCGCCGCCCGGGTGGTCTGGGCCGTCAGAGCCGCCACTGACAGCTGCCGCCCTCCCCCAGTCTCCATCCTCCCTAGAGCTGTCTGTTTACCCCTAATTCCCGCACCTGACAGTGACCTGTTGCCCTGCTAAATCCCGCCCCCGAGAGAGCTTTATCCCCCGAGTACCTGCCCGGTACCTGCCTCCCCGGTCCTCCCCCCCCCCCCCGCCCAACCCGGGCTCCGTACGGTGTGAAGCATTGCACCGCTACGCGACGAGGGGAGCCGGGTCAGCGGGTGTCTGATAGGGTCAGGAGGGTCGTTATGCTGAGCATGGAATTGCTGCTCAGTCGCCGTATGTCATTCGGGTTTGGTTTGGATATGTGGAACGATTTGTAGATGGCACTATAGGCTTACGATCAGATGCCTGCATGCTCACTGTCACACCACCCGCTATTTCATGGTGGTCTCTCTCTCTCTCTCTCTCTCTCTCTCTCTCTCTCTCTCTCTCTCTCTCTCTCTCTCTCTCTCTCTCTCTCTCTCTCTCTCTCTCTCTCTCTCTCTCTCTCTCTCTCTCTCTCCCGTTGTCTCTCTTACTCTTTTTTCGTCTATCTATCTATCGTCATTTATGTATAATATCTGTTCTCATGTTTCGACGGGTATTGTCTGTCTTTAACCTTTAACCTCTCCCCCGCCGTCCGCACACCATCCTGATTCCTGCTGTATCTGACACTCTATCCTCCCTTCCCCGTCGTCCGCCACTCCCATCCCGCCGTGTCTGACTGCCCCTCCCCCTCCCCTCCCGCAGGGACCGCCGGGACCGACGCGACCGCAACGGCGAGGATTACTTCGACCCGGACGCTGTGCGCGTCAAGACGGAGCCGGAGGACGACTACCCCGAGTACAGCAGCGGCTACAACGGCCAGAACCCGCCGCTCAAGGACGAGGACAAGAAGCCGCGCGACCTGCCGCCGCCACCACCGCCGCCCGAGATGGGCCAGGACGCCGGCAACGGCTCCGGATACGAGCGCCGCGACGAGGGCGAGATCGACTACTGAAGGCCCGGCGGCCAGCGGCGCCCGCCCGCCCGCTTACCTATCTCTTTACATGGCGACGAGCGTTCATTCATCCCAGAGTTGTGTTGGCCGCGGCCGTTTTGGTCGGTGTTGTGTGAGCGGGGCGCGGACGGGCCGGCGCGGTCGACCCGAGGTGTGTAGCTAGCCGGGAGGACGCGCTGCGGCGGTCAGCGGGAGAGGACCCCTGGGGACGCTCCCGGCGGTCCGTCGAGGTTGTGTCCGTCGTGCTCCCTCGCCGTCCGGTCCGCGGTACGGCGATTCTGGAGGCGGTCTCATTCGGTAAGTCGTGCGTCTGTGCTCATCGCTGGTTTCAATATACGTGACGCATCTGGGTCGAGTGTTTCCGGTGGAGGATTGTGGGCGAGGCGAGCAGGAAAAAGCGGGCGAAAAGGGGAAAATGTGTGGCGTGTGTCACACACTTCGACTTGTTTAGTTTGGCGATGGCACGAGTTCCATCTAACTACTGTTGAGGACCTGAGGTCTGGTGTTTGAATGTTGGTAATTAATCCCATTCATCCCGAAGGTATGACCCTGGGTGGATGGGCCACAGCCAGGTTCTGTTTCCGTCACTGCCAGCCGAGACGGCAGTTGGTTGGACTGGAAGGTCAGAGGGTGAGGGGGTTGGCCGATCTGAGTGTGTCTACGCTCAGCGCCGCCACCTATTAGGGACGAGGGAAACATTGCTGTATGTCTCAGCAGCCACGTGTGCTTACTGCTGAAATTATGTTCTTAATGACCAGGTGCTCTAATGGGGAAGATATCGTGCATGACGGTTTGACCTTGTCATCGACTGCTGACATTTATAAATGAGTGTGACTTTTATCCGCACCGCCCTGTTATCCCGTGAGTGATGTGAGCGTTAGTTGGCTCCCGCTCGTCCGACAAGATATATCCTAATCCATATGTACCCGTTAGTTGAGTATAGCTTCCTGTATTATTCCCGTACAATTCTCGATTTCAGATCTTCAGTCAAGGTCTTCTGAACAACGGTTTTGTTCCAAACGTACTCCAAGTGACAGTTTCATTCAAACACACCAGTCAAGGCTGACTGAATCTCAACTACTTATTCTAAGTTCCTGCGTTATGGCGACACCACATGTCTATATATGGTGCTTCTGGTTGTCCTTTTTTATCTGATGTGCTGCCGTTTTCCGCAATACGGGCTGGGTAGACGGACGGTCACTGGCCGGTGCTCGGTGACGGTCTAACCCTGTTCACCCCACCGGCACACAGCTGTCTCGTGCAGACCTGACCCTGGTGCAGGACAGAGCTGCAGCGGACAGACGGAAGGAGGCGAGGACATTGACTCGCCAGTCGACCCACAGGAGCGCGGATTACGCTTCCGAGTATCGCGGATTACGAGCGGAACTGACGCGGATTACGCTTGGGACGCACTGCGCACACGGATTTCGCACGGGACGCGCCGGGCGTTGGGCTTGGTCGGTCTCGGGTCACACTGGGAGCGATGGGTCCTTGGAGAACGCACATCGATGACCGATCATTCGATTGACTGCTCTGCAGTCGGTTCTGGGCTCTGGTTTTGACTGCCACATTATGGCTCGCTCTTGCCTCGACATTTTTACGATTTACTCTTCATCTTTCGGAAGACTACTGTTCGTTTCTTTGCAGGGGCGGATCCAAGGGGGGGGGGGTCACATGGGTCATGCCCCCCCCTTGAGGCCCGGGGGCCCAAAGACCTTCCAGGGGCACCACCGGCCTATCAGGGGTATCACAGTCCTGACAGGGGCACCACAGGACCGCCAGGGGCACCACAGGCCTAGCAGGGACACCACGGGCCTGGTGCCCCTGGGCCCTGACAGGACTGTAACGCCCCTGACAAGCCTGAAGTGTCCCCGGCAGGCACGTGGTGCCCCTGACAGGCCTGAGGCGCCCCTGCAAGGCCGGTGGTGCCCCTGGCAGGCCTGTGGTGTCCATGGCAGGCCTGTGGTGCCCTTGCTAGGCCTCTGGTGCCCCTGACAGGCTTGTAATGCCCCTGGAAGGACTGTGGTGCCCCTGGGCCCTGACAAGCCTGAGGTGCCCCTGACAGGCCAGAGGTGCCCTTGCTAGGCCTGTGGTGCCCCTGGCAGGCCTCTGGTGCCCCTGACAGGCTTGCGGTGCCCTTGGAAGGACTGTGGTGTCCCTGGGCCCTGACAAGCCTGAGGTGCCCCTGACAGGCCCGTGGTGCCCTTGTTAGGCCTGTGGTGCCCCTGGCAGGCCTCTGGTGCCCTTGCTAGGCCGCTGGTGCCCCTGGCAGGCCTCTGGTACCCTTGCTAGGCCGCTGGTGCCCCTGGCAGGCCTCTGGTGCCCCTGCGCCCGGAGAGGACTGGTGCCCCTGAAAAGTCTGAAGTGCCCCTCGGCAGGCCCGTCGTGCCCCTGACAGGCCCAAGGTGCCCCTGTGAGGCCGGTGGTGCCCCTGGCAGGCCTCTGGTGCCCCTGGCAGGTCTGTGGTGCCCCTGGCAGGTCTGTGGCGCCCCTGGCAGACCTGTGTTGACTGGTGCCCCTGCTAGGTCGCTGGTGCCCCTCACAGACCTGTGGTGCCCCTGGGCCTTGACAAGCCTGAGATGCCTGGCTATGACAGGCTCGTGGTGCCCCTGATAGACCAGTGGTGCCCTTGCTAGGCCTGTTGTGCCCCTGGCAGGCCTCTGGTGCCCCTGCTACCCCTGCGCCCTGAGAGGACTATGGTGCCCCTGAAAAGCCTGAAGTGCCTCTCGACAGGCCCGTGGTGCCCCTGGGCCCTGACAGGTCCAAGTTACCCCTGCGAGGTCGGTGGTGCTCCTGGCAGGCCTCTGGTGCCCCTGGCAGGTCTGTGGTGCCCCTGGCAGGCCTGTGTTGACTGGTGCCCCTGCTAGGCCGCTGGTGCCCCTCACAGGCCTGCAGTGCCCCTGGAAGGACTGTGGTGCCCCTGCCCCTAGGGGTACTCATGGGCCCAACAGGCCCGTTGTGCCCCTGACAGGCCTGTCGTGTATACTTGCTAGACCTGTGGTGCCCCTGCTTCCTGGCAGGCCTGTGGTGCCCCTGGTGGGCCTGTGGCGCCCCTACAAGGCCGTAGGTGCCCCTGACAGGTTTGTGGTGTCCCTGGAAGGACTTTGGTGCCCCTGACAAGCCTGAAGTGTCAAGGACAGACCCTTTAGACGCCAGGGTCAAGTTCGTCGGACTGACAACGATTTGCTTACCTGATAACGTTCCTGGTAAGTACTCATTACTCAGCGTCCACAACATATATACACATAGCACATTCATATATACTTGCTTACAATTGGTAAATGTGGTTGTGGCTAAGAGGTAAGATACTGACTAAAAATAAAAAATAAAAATAAAAAACTGAAAACGGGGGCACCACCAAAATGAAGTGGACGAAATCCGTTGAGTTTTTAATTTTGGGTATAGGTAGGGGTAATCTTGGGTAGGGGCACCACTTCGATTCATGACCCTCCCCTTGGAGTTTTCCTGGATCCGCCCCTGTTTCTTTGCATTTTTCGATGCCAAGTGACAAATGAGTTGTCACCGCTACATTACGCAAGCCTCCGAAAGCTGCCCTATGCGATACGAAACGAAACATAAAGTTGCAATATCATCGAAACTGCATTTTGAAAGCCGGAGCATAGCACGTAGCCGTATCACTGAGAATGATCCGCTCATATGACACTAAACCGTAAATCATGTTTAGGACTTTTCGGAATGGCGAACATCTAGGTTTCCGTCATCCGTGTTTGGCGATTGACATGCGTGTCGCCCAGACCCGAGGCCGCCGCACAGCAACAACCCCTTCCCCCACCCACCCCTCCACCCCCAAACCACGTCCCACGGTATATAGAGAACTGCCGTCTGCCCCAACCCGCCCGCGCTCGCCGTATCCGACCGAGACGCCAAGGTATATAAAAACACTGCGAGACGCTAAACCGCTAAACCGCTAAACTTATACGGCCTTGCGCTAAACAGCCGGCGGCGGAATTTTGACCGGACGGTTCGCTCGACCAATCAGCATTCGATCGGCCGGCGCGCCTATAGAGGCGGCCATGTTTGTAAATTTCTGCTTCAGTTCAGGCCTTCAAACGGAAGTTGTCGGTGTTTGAGTGTGGGCGTGAAATCGGTGCTGGAGTTTAGTGAGAATATCCCATGTGCCGTGCTGTTATTTGAGGGTGTAGTGTGTGTTTTACGGATGGCGCTGTGAGAGATGGTGCTTTGCGGAGTGCTGGCGATAATATAGGCCAAGGCAGTGTGAGACGCACGGGCGTCGGCGTGGCGCGCGAGTGACCACTGACCGTCCCGTGCCGTGAGCCGAGCCCCATGATGAGGGAGCATCCGTGCACAGGACAGGACAGGACAGCGCACACTGAAAACCAAAATGAATCTCCTGATGCCCTGATCATTGAAGTCTATACCCCAATTATTCCCTTTTGATCTCTTCATTATACCTATGGGGTATATTCATGGAATCGCAGTTGGCTTCATATTCCCATGATATTCCCTCGACCTCCATGAATTAGGTATTGATTCTCTTAATAAGCTCTTGATATCACCCTGTGAGAACCATATTATGCCATTGATACCCTAAATGATTCTGCATGATTCCGTGCGTATAAGATGCTGTTGATACCCCAGTCGCTGATAGTTATGCCTTTATGATTCTCTATCTATTCTTGCAATATACCCTTTCATTGCCCAGAGGGTATCTTGCCGGAATCACAGGGAGGCTCATATTCCCTTGAGATGCTTTCATATTCTTCTGTTATGCTTCCTTTGCCTGATTCTTTCAAAATACTCTTGATATCACCCGAGCAGAACCATAGTATTCCTCAATGATTCTTCGTTGGAGGCATCAAGAACGCGCCAAAGGTCCGCCATTTTTCTCCGCCATTTCCGGTGATCAGTGAAGAGCGGTGTTGGGTGCTGTGTGGTTGCGAGTGGTGCCATTTTTAGGCTGGAATTGAGCCTTATTGAGGGTGAGTACCATCCTTAGCAGGAACTCATATGACGATGAAATGCTTGGATTGACTAAGGCCCTTGATTTTTCATATGTAGGTAGTGTTCTTCTAAGGTTGCGTGTACTTGTGCTTCTGATGTCTAAATGAGATCATTACTATACAGCATTATATTTGTTTAAATAGGTAGGTACCCAACAGTTGAACATCGTTGTTCTGATACATGTTAACTTCTTACATATCGAGTATAAGCGAACCTGTTCAACCAATCTTATACAAAATGCATTGGGGGGGGGGGGGGGATTGCCTCATACTCTTCAGTATGTGTGAGCATCCCTGGACCCGTCAGTGTGAATAAAAAATATTCTCAAATGAGTAAGTGATATGTCCGTCGTCCTCCTTTCCTGATC